TTATGCAATGCACGTGTTGTGTGTGAGGAGAAATTTTCACACAAAAATTAATATCTAAAAATCAATTAAATATTAATATACAAGAGTATAAAATAAATTGAAAGAAATCAAAAGAATCATAAATTAAACAAAATCGAATTCTCAATTTCTAATTATAGAGACAATATATAATTGACTTAGGTTGACCAGGGTCCCCAGTGGAGTCTCCAAGCTGTCATAACCGGTTTTTGCCCGGGTACGAATTTTACTTGGTTGGAAAAGTAATGTGAATAAATAAATGGTTTTTATTTAAAGAAATGTTTTGGGAGTCGCCATCGGCCTTTTGGATTAGGTAGGTTGAATACCTAAAAATCATCTTTTAAAAGAGTTTTTAAGAAAACATCAGTTAAAAGATAAATCGGTCTGTGTCTAACCTAAAATTCGTTCTTTTTAATAATAAAAAGGGATTCGTGGTTGATTATATTTGGGGACGGATTAGCACCCCCACAATGCCCAAAATTGGTCCTTGTCGATTATAAATTGTCTCCATTAGTGGAAATTTAAGAATTAGAATGTAAATTTAATTTATGATCCTCTTATTTCAAATTTATTAATATAATTCTAAGAAAATATATTAAAATATAAAAGTAAAGTAAATGTACATATATATATTTAAGTTATTATAATCATGATATTTATTCATTTTAAAAATATCAGAAAATGACATCTAGTTGCTTTAAGACAACCAATTTCTTAATATTAAGAAATAAATAAATATTAATGAAGAGATAATATTTTTTCCTAAAAATAATAAAAATGAAGTGAATATATATATATATATATAAATATAAGATATTTATTTATTTTTAAAATATCATAATAGGACGTATAGTTATTTTAAGACTGCCCTTTCTTAATATTTAAAAATAAATAAACATTATTATTTAATCAAATATATTTATAAGAATAAAATAATTATTAATATTTAAAGTATTAAATTAAACAAATTGATAAAAATAAAAATAAATTGCAATTAAACATAGAATTAAATAAAACAATGACAAAATAAAGAAAATTAAAATTATAGCATTAACATATAAAAGAAATAAAACTTATGATCTAAAATAAATATTATTAACAAATTAGGGATTAAGATGTAAGATATATAAATTGAGGGCCTAATTTGAATTATCATAAAAATATAATTACTAATAGTGTAATTAACCATTAATTATTAATCGGTGATTAAAATAATAATTATTAAAACCTAGGGGACTAAATCTATTATTTACCATAAACATATATAATTATGTTAGGGACTAAATTATAATAAACTAAAATTTAAAAATCAAATTAAAAGGTTCAGAATTTGATTTCAGTGACTAAAATGCAAAGTTACAAATCTTTTATGGTTGTGGATATGATTTACCCACGAGCAAAATTACACAAACACCCTTCTCCCAAAACGATGTCGTTTGGGGGAGGGTATTAATACCCTTTTAACCGACCAAAATGGTCGGTTTTCTTCATTTTTTCCTCTTTGGGTCTCTCTCTAAAGGGAGAGAACATTTCCCTTCTCTCTAGCTTCCCTCACTGAAGGGAATTCCGGTAACCATCGACCATCGTATTTCGGCGCCGATCGCCGTTGTGGCCGAAACTTAGAAAAATACCCCGTATCAAACTCTTTTTTCCCTAACCTAGATCCCTTTTTGTTTTATCCTAAAAACTCCTAAATCACCGTAGATATAAACAAAACCGAAAGGTTTACCTCAGTTTTCACAAAGTTTTACGATGGTTCCACGGCGTTTGGTTCTTCGATGTAAGTTTCTTCACTTTCTTCTCTCTGTTTTCATAAAATTACATCATAAGATGCCTTACTAATATTGTAGTATAATCATTGATGCTTGTTGTACTCTTTACTTCTAATCCTGGCTTTTACCTACGCGTAAAAATATCACACGCTAAATATATACTTAGTGAGGCGTAATAAAGTAAGAAAAGCCTTTAGAAACATAGGTATATCAATAAAGATCAAATGCAATTTGAAATCGTATGATATATATAAAAACTCAAAATAGACTTGATAAGCCAAGTTTCTTTCAAATAACCTGCGAAACAATATTTAGTATGCCCAGGATACCTACCAATCAATATTTTCCAAAATATTCATTTATTTCCCAATGTATGCCAAATGAGAATGCAAGGTAGATGAGTTGCACATAAGTGCTAAACGATAGCATAGGCTATATGGTGACAGCAACACTATACTAAGGTAACGAAATGGTAATTCACAAACTCATTATGAATACCACGGGTGCACACATAGTGTTGAAATTGTAATTCACAAACTCATTACGAATACCAAAATGCAACATATGCATTAAACAAAATCGATCGATAACCAACATACACAAAGTATGTCGAAATGCACCTACAACTCTCAATGCACATACATTTAAATCAAATATTCAGATTAAATATTTATTCTGAAACATCGATAGATGTTAAATAATGTAAAGGTTCATCCATCTGGTTTAGGGTTGTTCATACCTTAAATTTTTTCGTAAAATCATATTCATAAACTTTATGAAAATATTTCAATATTGTAACATGCTTTTATAAAAAAAAAATTGAGGTTGACTCGTCACAAGTCATCCTCATATCATATAAGTACATAAAATTACACTCACTTAGTATGCCTCACTATCATGCCTTATTGTAATCTGACTATTCTAAAACTTTTTCCTTGCCTTTTTGTTTGTTTACCTTACGAATTTTATTACAATCTTCAAAACCATCCATATTCACGCATACAAATATAACATACAATGTTAGTATACTTACATTTATACAAAATAATAATACTCAAAAGTACTATTATTTTCAAATTCTTTTAAAATTCATCCTAACTTTTTCCTTTTTATTCCTAATGGGCCCTTGTCATAAATTCTTCAATTAAAGCCCAAATAAGCCCAATAATTTTCTAGCATTAGACTTACAACCCAATATCTCAACAATACTCATAATTACCACTTAAGTCATTAACTTTCTTAATATTCACCATTTTGTACTTAAACTTTACCAACTTTCCAAAATGACTTAATTTCATATTCTAACTTCAATTTCAGCCCTCAAACAATAATTTCCAGTAGTGTACATTAAATATTAACAAATTTCACAACCATTCATAACTTTTCCAAAATTATCAAATTGGTCCTCCAACTTTTCAAAAAATTACGTAATGATCCCCAAGTTTTTCTAGGGCTTGCAACATACTTACTAAATCAATTCCAGTCCTATAATAATTTTTTGCATACATTTTCTCACTCAACAGTACCATGGTCGAATGCTTTAACTTTGAAATCTAGGTTTTCATGACTTTGTTCGATTTTGATTCGATTCAAGCATGAAATCAACTTCCAAACAACTTTACAACATCTCTACAATTAACTCTCATCAAAACACAATGTTCTAAAATTTCTTCTTTGGGCCGAAAATCATAGAATAATTTCTAAGAAGTTTGAATATGTTTTAATCATAAATCAAGCTTGAAAATGAATCTACAACCTCAAAAACATCAAGATTCATCATCAATTGTGTGAACACAAACCCTAAGATTTGAGATCTTTGATATCAAACTAGTTGAGCAATCATAGTTGGTACCAAAAGATAGCATTTTTCGAATATATCATTTTTCTATTTCACGGTATAACTTGAAATCTAAATAAAATAGCTCAAAAATGGAAACCAATTTTTTTCTCTTACCTTTGGAAGCTCACGGCAAACTTGGAGAAGATGATAACAATTTGGCATTAATTTTTGATAATTTCATGCTAAATTTATCTTTAATTTAACTTTAATGAATATTAAATTTATTAAATTGGGAAAAGACCAATGTACTCTTAATAAAACTTCATATTTACCATCCAACCAAGACACCTCAACCTTATCATCTTCTTAAAGTCAAAGATGGACAAACGAAATCTTACTTTACCAATTTGCCCTTGCCTTTTTCCAAAAATTACAATCTTGCCACTTTAATGCAACGGTCCAAATTAAATATGGAATTAAATCCAAATATCCAAAGATTTATATTATTTTCCAACATTTTAAAATGTGGAAATAATTTTTTAGGTCTAACTTATCATCTTTCAGATTTTCCTAAAATTTTTATTCGATCCGATTTATCAAATTATTCCTCAAACTTCATTGTTTTATAACTTTTAATACAAAACCAGTATTAAAATTCTGATTCCCATAGAAACGTTATTCTTGAGATAAAGTGTTTATTTATAAGGCCAAAATGTAACTTTTTAAAAAATTACCATTTTGGTCTCTAAACTTTTCCAAAGTTTATACTTTGGTCACTAAACTTTTATAATTTTCATTTTGGTCATTAACCAAATCCATTAATGGAATAAAATTTGTATTGCAAAAATCTACCACTTAGGTCCTTAAATGTTTCCCAATTTTCTACTTTGACATCAAACTTTCAAAATTTACATTTTGATCACTATCCAAAAATTTGGGGTATTACAGGAAGATTACCTGGCAAAACGAAATGTTGTTGCAAAATATTTTGGTGATCGACCTCTTTAACATGTAGGGCATTGACTTCATGGGACCCTTTTCATCATCCTTTAGAGATTTATACATCTTGTTGGCCTAGATTATATGTATAAGTCGGTCGAGCAATTGCAACACCAAAGAACGACTCTAACACCATACTCAAGTTCCTGCACAAAAATATCTTCACCAGATTTGATGCACCTAGAGCCATCATCAGTGAAGAAGGCATCCATTTTGAAAACAAGTTAATTGTCAAGGCATTGCAGAGGTATGGGGTGCGACATAAAATTGCCACGACATATCATCCCCAGAAAAGTGGTCAAGCTGAGGTCTCTAACCATGAGATCAAGAAGATTCTTGAGAAGATTGTGAACCCTAGAAGAAAGGACTAGTCCCCAAAGCTCGATAAAGTACTCTAGCCTTATCGTATGACATTTAAAAATACACTAGGGATGTCCCCATTCAAATTGGTGTATGGAAAAGTCGACCATCTTCTTGTTGAGCTCTACCAAGCTTATTGGGCTACCAAAAAGCTCAATTTTTATGCACAATTAGCCGGAGAGCAAAGATTATTGGGGCTTAATGAAATGGAAGAGTATAGGGAACAAGCATATGAAAATGTAAAGCTTTGTAAGGAGAAGACTAAGAAGTGGTATGATCAAATGTTTTTTCCATGGCATTTTCATGTTGTTCAACAGGTGCTCCTCTACAACTCAAGACTAAGGCTCTTTCCGGGTAAACTCAAGTCAAGATGGTCAGGACCCTTTGAAGTGCATCACGTTTACCCTCATGGAGTTGTTGATATCAAAAATATAGATGATGCGACCATTTTGAAAGTCAACGGCCAGCAATTGAAGGCTTACAATAGAGCTCCACCATTGTGTGATAAGTCGGTGCTCCACCTGCAAGACACTTGAGTTTGCCTTTCTAAGCTTTTTTAAAACTCCACGACATTTTATATTTACTACTGTGCAAAAATAACACAACATGTTTTCTTTTAGGGTTTTATTCTATTTTATTTTTGTTTCATCTAGTATATGTGGCAACTAATCATACAAGAACAAACCCTACTTTTAATATTTTGGGTGGCAAAAGACAAAATGAATGAGGGAGTATGTTTTTCGAAATCCACATTTATTCTTGTAATCATTACTTTCTTTTTCCTACTTTTCACCCCTCGTTTATTAATTTCCACTTTTTATTTTCTTCTCTCTTTTCTCCCAAAACCCCCTGCACACATTAAACCCCCTACTACATCACTTTTCATCCTTTTTCTCTTTCCAATTTATTTCTTTATCTTCAACACTCCTCTTTCTTTTTTTCTTTTCTCTGTCAAAACCGAATCCTCCATTACCAAAGTCCTCAAGCTTTTCACTTCGTCCTTTTTTTACTCTGAGTAAAAAATGATACGGACTCGTTGTTGAGTTAATCGAATGACGAAATTGGCCAAGAGGGGGGTGAATTGGCAATAAAAATTTTGTGGAAGCTTTTGCAGAAAATTGAAAGTAATTGCACAGCGATTTACAGTGGTTCGACTTTCTCAAACAAAGTCTACGTCCACTACCTTAGCTATCCACACTAAGGATTTTCCAACAAATTCACTAATTTGTTCTTTCTTTTGAGGCCAAAGAGATAACCTTACAATTCCCTCAAGAGTATACCCCAACTCTTGAGAACACTCTTTTCTCAAAGAGAAGATTACAAATTTGCAAACTTACAAGAAAACCTCACAAGGTAAGATGTTTGCACAATTCTAGAACAAAGAAAAGAACACTCAAAGATGAATACAACTGAGCACAAAAAGTGTTCTTGAAAGCAAAATGAATATTGAATGAAAATGGGCTTGAAATGCTCAAACTTGAGGTTTGATGCTTTCTCTTTGATTCTCTCTTGATTCTAGTTGCTTGATATTTCTTGTTGTTGATCAATGGCTTCTAAGCTTACTTAAATACACCTTGGATCACTTCTGAACGTTGGGGATAATTAGAGAAGATATTATAGCCGTTTTAGTGTGAAAACATTTAATAAAACAGCTTGGACAGTGGGGGGAATCGGTTCCCTCTCATAGGGAATCGGTTCCCTAAGTGTAAAATTCAAATATTTCGACCGTTGAACAGGGGGGAATCGGTACCCCCTTGGGGGGAATCGGTTCCCTCCGAGCATTCTGGAAATCTCGGAGCCAAACCATTCAGGGGGGAATCGGTTCCTTCTATGGGGGGGAATCGGTTCCCTCTGAGCAATCTGGAATTTTTGGCTTTGAATTGGTTCGAAATACTTTGTAAAATTATTTTGAAATTGTTTTATGATTAAAACTTAATTTTACACTTAAGTAAGGATCAAAAACGATTTTTGAAATATTTGGAGTAATGTTTTGATATTCGAATAGTTATATTGAATATACTTAGAAAATCATTTGAAAAATCTTAAAATCCATTTAACTTAATTTGTTATATCGAAATATTAAAATGTTTCAACAATCTCCCCCTTTTTGATATAACAAAACATTTTAGTAATTTTAAGATTTTTGAAATCAAGTTTTGAAATTACTCCCCCTTACTTTAACACTTCTTCAATTTATCATGTAAAACATTTAACACTTATTCTTCTCCCCCTTTTTGTTAAATCAAAAAGACATTGTAAAACAAGGTTTTGAAAATCATTTAGCCAATTGATTTATTAATTATAAGCTTAAGCTGCTAAGATCACAATCAAAAGAGAGGTTAGCCATTAGTTTCATAAATCAATATTCATAATTAATGTGATATGACAAAATTGGTCATATTGCTAATGATAATGTAAATGATGCAAAAATGAATTAAACACACCAAACATATAAGTTCACACCATTCATAAATCCAAAATCCAACAATCCACAAAATCAAACAATTCAAAATGTTGAAACAATATTCATTTTGTTCAAAGTTTTAAAGCTAAACATAAAATCAAGCATCCGGATCGGTAGGAGGAAAACGGGCTCGCATAGCAGCCATTTCATGAGTTAGTTCATTGATACGAGCGTTGGTTGATTCATTGTTTGCACGCATCTCCCGAAGAATCTCTAATTGTTGAGCTCCCATTGTGGATAAATGGGACTCTACAGAGGAAAAGCGTGAGTCCATGGTAGCGTATCGGAAATCGAATGTCTCCATAAAGGATTGAAAATATGGAGGCATTTGATGCGTTTGTTGTGCTTGCTCCTCGGGCTGCTCTTCGGGCTGATCAGGCTCATCTTCGGCTTCATCGATATCTTGCATTAATTGCTCGAGCTCGGGATCTTCGTCAGCTTCGGGTGGAGCTTGTGAAGAACTAGCTCCCGGAGTAGAAGATCGAACCCATTCACCAGTTTCTTTGTCCTTTACCCATCCCGCTCTCGTTAAGGAAAGAAGATTTATTTGTTTCTTAAGAGGAAAAATGGCATCTAGACCGACTCTAAGCCCAGCTTTGGAAAACAGATTACTCAAAAAGCAACCGTAAACTAGAGATGAACAGTGTTTCTTGTTAGGAACAAGATTTACGGTTTCAACAATTTCAGCAAAAATAATCTGAGGTAGGTTAATTTTAATACGGTTTTCGAAACAATGTAACCACCAAAGATCCAAAGCTCTAAGAGTAGAATAACGACCTCCGGATGGTCGAAACCACCAAGAAATCATTAGATGAAGAAAACGCTCATGTAGGTCTAAGACACTCGCACTATCTCTTCTTTTGTAACGAGAACCTAAAATTTGTTTTTCATTCGAGATACCATCATTATCTAATCCAAATGTATTGGCTATATATGCCGGGTCAATATATAAGAATTGTCCTAGGAGGTAGGAACGAATTCCTATGGTTTCGGTTTCAGCTTGGTTTTTAACACATACGGCATTAGAGTAGAATATACGAACAAGTTGATGGTAAACGATGGGTTCAAGATCAAATAGTTTATCAAATTTCCATTCTTGTAAAATGGGAAGATATTTAAAATCGATAGCTAACATAGCTTGACGAGAAGGAATACGTTCTTCCCGGATTTTGTAAGAATCGAAATATTGATAATACCAATATCGGTGATTTCTAGACCCAGGATGATTGAAACACGAATTTTGGATAGTCAAGTTAGGATCAGTGGGATTAGGATTAGAAATTGGAATATAAGGAGGATTTGGAGGTGGATTTGGTTGACGACTAGAGCGACTAGATGAAGACCTAGGACGTTTAGGATTTGACATGGTGAAGGAAATCGGAATAGATATAATAACCTGCAATTTTAAAACAAGTGTATGCAATTCAATTAATCCCAAAACTCAAATGAGTCCTCAATATTTCAAGATTCTCTAAATCAATCCTAATGGGCAAAGTTTTTGAAAAACTTTTGAAAAATATGGTTTTGAGAAACAATATATGTATAGTTTTTCATAACAACAATATAATTTGATCAAAACACAATAATTTGAAAAATAACATTTTTTTTTATATTATTTCGAAAATTTTAAAAATTTTGAAAAATTCTTGTGTTTTTGATGAAATTAGTTGTAACATCTAGTTTCTAATCACTAAATAATCAATGCCCGATCACTATTTCAACCTAGAACTAATTGAAACTAATCATATGTTCAAAAATAATGAAATAAAGAGTTTAGAAAAATTTACCTTGAAATATGAAGATTGAGGGTATTTAGATGTTGTTTGCACGATTTTAATGATTCCAACAGGTTTGGAAGATGATTTATGAAGCAAATTCCGATTAATATCGTTGATTTGAGGCAAAAATGGAGATTTGAGGGGTTTAGAGGGTGAGAACGGCGGAAGATATAATAAAATGAGGGTTTGGGATTTTGGGGTGTTCTGTTCGATTTTAACAGAACCCCAGGGGGGGTATCGATTCCCCTGTGGGGGGAATCGGTTCCCCTTCAAAGGGGGAATCGGTTCCCTCAGGGGGGGATCGATTCCCTCTGCACCAAAATGCTAAAATCTGAATTTTTAAGCACAAAATGCTAAATTAATCTTTTCTAGTGGTATTGGCAACTCATATATCAAACATTAATTATGTTCAAATAATTAAATTAATCTTTAATTGATTTTTTGAACATAAAATTAATTTTCATTAAGAATCACAAACTCCCCCTAACTAATAGCAAGAATGCAATCAAAAATTATTATTATAAGCATTTTTCAAGCTTTATTAAAAGTGCTAAAATTATTTTAAACACTAAGTGAAGATAGGTTGGTCAAACCTAATTCTCTCCTAAGTGTCCAAAATCTTTCCTTGTCTAAGGGTTTTGTAAAGATATCCGCTAATTGGTGCAAAGTATCAAAAAATTCTAGAACTACATCTTCCTTAGTGACATGGTCTCTAATGAAGTGATGTCTTATTTCAATGTTCTTAGTTCTAGAGTGTTGGATGGGATTTTTAGTGAGACAAATAGCACTAGTATTGTCACACTTGATAGGAATAGTACCTACTTCAATTCCATAATCAAAAAGTTGTTGTTTCATCCATAAAACTTGTGCACAGCAACTACCGGCTGAAATGTATTCCGCTTCAGTGGTAGATAATGCAACACAATTTTGTTTCTTTGAAAACCAAGAAATCAGCATATTTCCAAGGAATTGGCAAGTACCGGAGGTGCTTTTCCTATCTAATTTGCATCCTCCATAATCCGCATCAGAAAAAGCATGCAAGCTAAAACTAGAGTCTCTAGGATACCAAAGTCCTAAACTAAGAGTGTCCTTAAGGTATCTAAAGATTCTCTTAACAGCTAGTAAATGTGATTCCTTAGGACATGATTGAAATCTAGCACATAAGCAAACACTAAACATAATGTCCGGTCTACTTGCAGTTAGATAAAGCAAAGAGCCAATCATTGACCTATATAATTTAACATCTACACATTTACCTCCTTCATCTAAGTCAAGCTTTGTTGAAGAGCTCATT